TCTAACTCATGCTTTTGAAAAAGAATCATCGAAGAAAAAAAATTCAAAAATGCAAACTTTTAGAATTGTTTCTAAAAATGTTAAAAGATTTTTTTTTTTTTGAAAAGGCTAAGAATGATTTTTATTTCGTAGTACCAACTAATTAATCAGGGGGTGATTGAACTCAAAGAAATAATTTTTCTCATATTCATCAATACATAAGTCATTGGAACAAACTTTGCGTTAAACTATATTGCAAATGTAGAATGAGAAAGCTGAAATAATGACGAAGGTTTTTAAAGGATGACTGAAGAAACACATATATATATGGGTATAAACCTAAAATGAAAACCCAAATTTCTCAGGATCCAAAATTATACATAGTAAAAATAAAAATGCATAAAAGTGATAAGAGTTATAACAACTTATGTTGATAATGTGGTATTTTGTAGGCATGAAGCTACTTAACTTCACACCATATTCTTCAAACACTATCACTCCCTTATCAACATTTTCCTATTCATTTGTTTCTTGTTTATCACTTCTCCGGATTTGATCCTCCTCTTTTCATCAAACTTAACGCACTAACGTTCACGCAGTTTTTTTCATGTGATTTTTCGCTTCGACCAATTTGATATTTTTTGTTGTCAACTTGAGATGAGGCTTGCTAAAGTTTAGACTCGATCATTTGGCGCAAGAAACAGACTTGAGCATGTCTTTTAGATAAGGAAATTTGAGTTGGGTGTCTTCAACGTCCTCAATGAGAGTCTGCAAAACACATTGAAATCGTTTGTGTTTCATTTTTTTTATACAAAAATATATCACAAAAAATATAAGAGAACTCTCCATGATCCGGATATGGGTATGTTATTAAGTTTGACGAAAAATGCGCTTGAGGCATGGATATTTAAATGTGATAAAGCTTAACTATCTAAGGTTTAAATTGTAGTTTAGTTTATATGTATTTGGAAGCTCGGATTTAATGTAGAATTGGCTATGTAGGTTTTTTGTTGTTCTGATTTGGTATGCTCTTGATAATGAGTACGTTTATGTAGGTTTTGTTTTTGTTGTGATTAGATATGTTCTTGAGAATGAGTTTGTTGTTATTTAAACATTATAATCTCTTATTAATATAAAATTTGAGAAACTATATTTGGGCAAATTTTGGTCATCAACGATGCTACAACCTTTTGATGTTGAACACCATTGTAAAGTAAAGCATGAATCAAACATAGTTTATTCCAAGAATGGTGGGCATCAACAAAATTTATTCCAAAAGAATTTCGTGAAACCAAAGAAGTTTGATCAAATTAGATTTCAAGATAATATTCATAACGTTGTGCCTATTTTAGATCCTAGCTTGAACATTTCAGTCGCATAACTTGTCAACATCTTTCTCTGAGAGCCATTTCGTTTCTGAAACAGTATCTCAAGAACAACAACCCTCTTCACTGAGATTACCCGGAAGAAAAGCTTCGATTCGATTGTGGTGGGATTGTGAGTTGGAATTTTTGTGGTGACTGGCATGAGGAAGGAAAGACGGTGTTTTTACACGGGCCAATCTATGAGTGAGAAATTATAAACATCAATGAACTTGGAAAACTAGATCCTTCTAGATTTGAGGAATCAACCAAAAAAGAATGGAAAAAACTACATAACGCATCATATCTCACAAAAAGAATAGGGTAGATTGAAATTGATAGATCCACGGGACTGATTCTCAAAACATTACTCGGAAAGAGAAGAACAAGAAGAAGATGAGAACCGTAGAGAAGAACAAGGCAAGATAAAAAAAACTAAAGAGTGAGAAGATAGATGTGTTTATAAAAAGAAGAAGAAGAAGATAGATGTGGAGGCTTATGAAGAAGATGTGTTTATAGAAGAAGATGTTAGACGAGGTCAAGGTGCACTTAACCTACATGTTTCTTCGTATACAATTAAACAACTGAAAACAATGCAAATTTGATCATTTTTTTCTTTTTCGATGAGTTCCTGTAACGGTCCCTTTTTTGAATAAAATGGGCATTACGACCATCGTCTCTCCCTGTTACCGGCGGCCCTTCCTCGCCGACCATACACAGAGCCTCGCTCGTCGAAACCAGCCGACGTCTCTTGGTGTTTTGCTCAGGTTTTGGATGTTCCTAGTACATTGGTGGGAGTATGTTTGCATCAGTGTTCGACCCATCTCCGAGGTCGTCTGCGGATTTGCAGGTTTTACCTCACATAGCTCACGCGTGGAGCGTGTTACATTTCTGCGGGATAGACTTGTCTTTATCAAGATCTCCCCAAATTATGAAGATCATACGGCCGTGGACTCAAATCTTGAGGCTATGAGATATGGAAAGATCTCATTCAATAGTGTTCGGATCTACATGATATTTTCTATAAAGATTCAGAGTAATCATGTCTGGCTTTCCTTATGTGGGAGCAATCACTTAAATCTCTGGTCGGTGATCACTGTAATGCGCTGATGTATCAATCACAGGGAGCTGATTGGAGACCTGCTGACTAAACGGATTGATCTCGCCATTCACCTACAAAAAGAAACATTGAGAGTTCATCTCTCTCACTACGCTAGAACTGAGAAACAATCCCACACATCTCAGAGGTTTACTTTGTCCATTCGCAACACCTTACTTGTTAATATGGCTTTCTTTGGGAAGATGATGGCACCGCGGGATGAGAGGAAGAGATTGTCCTCCATTCAGATGCCTGATTTTGATGACTCGGAGATCATCAAATAGTTTGAGAAGACGTTGATTGGCAGAGTTTTGAACCCGAAACAGACGCACCGGGTCAAAGCTCTCATTGCTTTCTTACCGGAAGTGTGGCAGTGTCAGGATCGGGTTAAGGGCATTGACATGGGGACAGGAAAATTTCAATTCCGATTTGACCACGAATCCGATATCACGCAAGTACTTGCAAGAAGGCCATATCACTTTGATGGCTGGTTCTTTGCTCTGGAACGATGGATCCCAACCAGTCGCATTGATTCCCGTCTTCCATCCCTATGTGGATCCAAATTCATGACTTGCCGGACTATCGATACTATGAGAAGGGCGTTGTCGAGATCGGGGAGAAATTAGGAGACCTCATGGCCTGGGAAGTTCAGCCGCCGCGGGTTCAGGTCACTCTGGAAGGAGGAGCACCTCTGGTCTTGAATCGAGACCTAGTGTTCAGGAATGGTTACATTATCACAGTGCGTTTCAAATACGAAAAGCTTGATTGCTATTGTAAAATCTGTTACTGATTGACACACGACAAATTGGATTGCCCTGAGAGGCCTCGGACACGACAGAGTCGTGGTTACTCCCGGTGTCACGGGGGGGGGAGGATGCTCGACATCGCAGGAATGATCGAACCAGCTCAGCTATGGAGCCGGCCCTCGATCACCATAACACCGGCCGGGATCCAGCTCATCACCGTAGGACGGAGAGAACACAGGCGGAAAGAGGGTCGCGTTGAGGTGGTCGAAGCTCCGGCCAAAATGCCGGTCCACCAAAATCTCTTCGGAGAGAATGCATCCCCAGCGAAGCCTGACTCATCTAGGCCTGGGATTCAGCTTAAATCGACCCAAAATTGGTTCCGGAAGGAGCCTCTCTCTACTGGAGAGGAGAAGCGTCTGGGCAAGCGTCCGGTCGGAGGCGAGGTGGGAGAGCCTTCCGCAGATGCTCCGGCGATGCAGCAGGCTCATGAGAAGCGAGGTGTGCTCCAAATCGATAGAATTCAGAGAAAGAATCTTTGGCAGAGGAGGAGAAGAGTTTCGCCAGAGCCGGGTGGTGTAAGGCGTCGGTTGCAGAGGCTAGGGCAGTAAATAAAGCAAGCTTTTGGAACACGGTGAATCCGACAGCGACGGCAACGGCGTCGGCGATAGCTCAGAAGACGAATTCCACGGCTGAGCTCCGTGTGCAGAGAGAGAGAGATGGGCCCGATTTGGGCCTTGATGGGGTCATTTCCCCTCTCAAAGAAATGGTTAAGGCCTCAAAAGCTACTACAGATTCAGAAATGGGCTTGGGCCCAAAAGGCATAAGACAAAGGATTAAACCCAATTCTGGAAAACAGGACTCACCTGGGAAACGACCCACTAATCTGTTAGGAGTGCGAAAGAAGACTGGACACAGCCCGTTTAAAGGTGTTCGGGTGCAACAACAAGCGTCAAGGGCGGTTAAAGCATCACTTAGAGATGACAAGCCTCTTTGTGAGCCTCCGCAGCCGACGGCTTCGGGGTTGGCTCCTCTCACGAGGAAAAACTTGAAGAAAAAAGACCCGGTGGTTGGGGAGAAACCACCGGTAATCGCTTA